ATCGTATCCTCCCAATCAGGGGAAGTCATCTCAAACTTTTCTGCTATTGTTTTTGTTTTTGTTTTTGCTTTCGTTTTGTTGTTTGATTTGTTTTTTTCCCGCCTCACGTCACCATCGACGTTTGTATTGCCCGCGGGCAATATCTTTCGGAAAGTGACGATGACGGGGCACTATTTGAGCAAGTGGAACATCCCCCCGACTCCCATCATCGGATCAGCGCACAGGCTTTTCGCTCTGCCGTAATTCAAGATTGTGGGCCGAACGACAACAAAAATTCCAGTTGACAGAAGATCGGGCAGACGGTGTTCTGAGCCCTATACCGGGTCGTCGGTGCTTCGCGGTTGCCTTCACCACGGATTACCAGGTGGATCAGGAATTGCTGGATCGGATGATCGATGACGAAGAAGACAGGGTATAAGCTTCCTCGCCCTCACCTCCAGAACCTCCTGAACATTTCGGTCACTTATGATGCACCACTCATGCGCTAAGAAACCGCACGATCTTCCATTCTTTGCGCTGTTCTCACATTGCACGCAGAGGGGTTGAGCTAATGATGATGCTAGTCTTCTTTCCACTTCAACTTCTGCGTTGGGCAGTCTGTAGGCTAGTCGAGCAAGGGGCTATGGCGTTGAACAGAGAGGGGGCGGATGAGAAGATAGGGGTAGCTATCGAGATGTCAGCCTACGTTTTGCTCGCTTTTGTTGCTTTGCTAGCTTTTCTTTCTTTTCTTGCCTTCTTACACCACTTGCAACCTCTGCCGCCTCCATCGCCGGTCCGACTCACGAAGCATTTGTGACCTTAAAGCAGGTGTTTCCTCTGATGAAGCCGTGTACTGGTGGCTAGCGGCAGAAAAGCGCTTCAGGGATCGCCACTACCTTCTGCTTTGGCTGTTGTGGCAGGTTTCCCATATTACGTGGAACTAGCTCTAGGGATGCAACTAGTATCTTCATGTTCATTTTTCGTGCGAGTCTTCGCGTCATGCTGACTATTGAGTGGGAAGGAAAGGCGAGAGGTGACATTTCAGTTTTTTGGCCAAAGGAGAATTCATTCTTTGCTGTAAGGAAGGCGATGGATGTGTAATCATCACGTGTTTTCTTCAAAGTGTGTTGACTCGTATCTTGATTTGTGATCTTTGTCTGGATGGCTGGTGTAATGATAGACGTGAAAAATGATAGTTACAATACATGGCTTATATATACACATTTTTTTGAGCGAGATGGCCTCCAGACATAATATCCATCCGCGTATCGACCAATAAGATCGGCGAGGGGATTGGATACTATGATGGATGGCACCGATTGCTCTTGATTTCATATGTTATATACCGAAAATCCCGGAGGTAATTGTCGTATCTCTGCCATGAGAATAAGGTCTGGTCGGGGGGTATGTGCACAATTGTATCGCTTGGAATTGCATGAGTATGTACAAATGATATTGAAATCGCGTTTTCTTTTTGTTGCGCATCTTGGATGCAAAGTATGTGTGTGCATTAACGTATTGGTATAGACTCCACCAGGGCAATCGCAGAGACTGAGCATATAGGTGTTTCCCAATTTTTTTTGGCAAAATGACCAGTTCCGTTGACGACACTGTAGGATCGTTGTTGATCTGGGGGTGGGCTGATGAGCGGCATCGCTCCCCTACTCGGCCGCCACGACCATGTTATCCTGTCTCCCGATCTCACCGAAAATGATTTATTACACACTCTTGTTTCCTAGTTAAAAGCAACTCATTAAAAAATTATATCTATCCTTACTGATGGATTGGATATGGAGGTTGGATGAGTCTATGTATTCTTAGGTGGGGGTAAGGGTTTATAGAATATCTGTGTTGCATACGCTGGATGGACGAATGCTATCCCCTCCATTTGGCTGGGTACAAAATTCAGTACGCTATCAAAGCATACTGGGCCGGTCAGACTAATCTGCCCCGTTGCCCCAACGGTGGTGCCGACAACGCCCGTCTGACTCGGATCATATAGATTGCGTCATATGATTATTCATGTAGTCTAGTTTTTTCAAAGCGCAGGAACGTAATTGCGCTACATGCCTGTCCACGCGGCATTTTCTCCAGGGACAGAGCAACGAAGCGCGTGCACCCTTGCATATGGATATAAAATCAGCAGTAGTAATGAGTGATAAAAACGACGATTGCAGGATGTTTCTCTAGACAAAGATAGCTCGATGAAGCCCTGCGCCCTTACACGAGTATCGATTATCATGCTATGTACATATGCCTGCTTTAAGGATGTATGCTCTCCTTCTTTTTTAGTTTCACTCGCCTTCCGAAGAAGACATCTCTCTGGGCCATCGGATTGCACATACGTGGGGATGAGTCCTAGTCATGGTTTTATACGCAGGAATCCCATGGGATGGGTTATGTGGCCGGAGAGGTCTTGTGCTCGCCTGATAAGGATAGCGGGGGTCTGCCGATAAATTACTTCGGAGCTTGATTGCAATACGGTTTCCGTATCTTGCATCGACATGCTTGTCATGGAGTAGTTGGTGGTGTATCCCACCAACCATACCCTTGTGAGGCAGACATGGTATTGCACAAACATTTGCCAATCGAAACCCGGACAGACAGGGAAATCCGAGTGCATGAGATCACCTCGTCCACGTAATCTGCAAAGATAAAAGCTGGAGTAAGTTGATGTTCCGCCAACCTACCTTGTTTCAGTCGGTATATATTGTTGTGCGTGTGTACATGTTTGCGTGTTTGTTTGTCGTTGTCTTTTCTGTAGATTCCGCCAAAGGAGTTCTTCCCAGGAGGCTGGTGGGACGAACTCACCCGTAAGTACGAGTGGCTAAAGGAACAACCGTGGCCCATGATACCGGCGCAAGCGCTCATCGCCACATGGAAACCCGAGATACTGGACGCGATGAAGAGATTGGTCGAGACGGGGGACTTTCCTAATTTTTTTTTGCATGATTGGATTTAGTGATATTGCTAATCTTGCATGTGTCTGGGGTCAAGGGAAAAATGTGTTTGTCGCCAAACTCCTAGATACTGCTGCGAGCTTAGAGAAGAAGAAAACGGATTATGAGAAAGAATGCATGGAACTGCCCGCCAGAACGGCAAGAGTAGAACAAACGTTTCTTAAGATTTGGGGACTGGATCACTCGCATTTACAAGGGCAGGCCGCCGAAACGCCGGCGGTCGGCTGCACCATCGCCGGGGCTCTTGCCATGGATTACGAGGAAATGGCGGAATTAAACGTTGCCATAGCCGTAGTAACCGCTACTGCCAGCTGCACCCCAGAGAAAGCCTCATCCTCCCAAGGTAGGCAATACACGGTGTTCGCACCACTTCCGTCCTTGCACTAGGTTGAGCACACGGGCACTGGGTTCATGCATGCACTCTGGAAGCTCGACACTTTTAACCATCTTGCTCCGTTGTCGGTAAAAGCCTCATTTTTCTCGCCAACCTTACCGACCAGGAAGTTGCCACGTGTAAGGCAAACGCAATGACAGGCGCACTCCCATATTGCCCCCCAGGTAAAAAGGCCTTTAATCCGACCCTCCTAACGTTTCTACTGTCTACCCTCGACCATACGAAGTGTGAGTACACCAGCCCCGTAATGTGGCAGAAGAAGGTTAAAACCGCTCCTGAGATCGATCTGAAAGGACTAAGGAAAAGTTGGAATGTCGGGCGGCCATACCTCAGATGAAGGTGCGCTACGGAGAGGAAGAAGGACTGTGGGGCGGGACCGATCTGGATGGACCACGGGATTTGGTATCTATTTGCACATCCGGACATCCTATTCCCCAACATCGCCTCCGTGAAGGTAAAAACCTCTACTTTCATCCATTTTCTCCAAGTATCGTGGAAACCCGCAGTAGAGGCTTGTCTTACCTTCATGTTCATCCGGGAGATCATGACCGATGTGATCTCCGCGCTTGAAAAGGATCCCTACCTCACCTCTGAATCCGTGATTTGCAGAGAGAAATGGAAATACAATACCCCTCTAACCATCGGCAGGGTATTGCTCCCCACAAGGATTACTGGCAATCCGAGGATCAGAGTTAGGGGCACCCGGAACGAACAAGGGAATGCCCAAAAAAGGCAACGTAACAACCCACCTATAGTCGTCTCCCCCAGACAACGGGTACTTCCCTACGAACCCAGGGACAGGGCGAACGCAGCACGGCAGATGATCCCCCCCAGGGATCCCCCGCACCATGCGGTTGCCGTAGACATACCAGGATCACAGGAGCGAATGGGAGGCAATCATCCGCCAGAGGAGCAATTCGGCGGCAGAGGGTTACACAACATGGCGGTGGAAGGGCAAAGAGCTAGAGGTAGGGGTAGCTCTCGTCTGCTTTCCTCACAAGGAGGGTCTGCGATCTCCACGGCAGAATCCACAAAGAGTGGCGGATTGCGGAAGAACGGGTCTTCCAGCGGAGGGAAGAAGGGAAGGAGAGGTTGTATCGGCACTCCTTGACATGAGCGAGCGGATCTGTGTCGCGCACCTGAGTGACTATCCCTCTGATGGATCACTCATTCGTCACTACTCACGGGGAGCTTTTATTTTTTTTCCGATTTTTTTCCCTTCCTTTCTTTTTTTTTCCTTTTTTTTTTTTTTTTTTTTTTTTTTTTTTTTTTTTTTTTTTTTTGAAGTTCTTTTTTTTTTTTTTTTTTTATCTATAATGCATGTCAGAGGTTGATCCTCCAGCCTTTCGCCCCTCTCCATATATGCTAGGAACGGTCTCCTCTAACAACGAACCCCCCGTCAATGAGCTTCCGTGCACTACACAGGATGAGAGTTTCGACCCAGAAGAAGGTGGCAGCATGATCGTTTTTCCTTCGGGAAGGTCTGCATGGAGAAGGAGGGAGTGGGAGCAGGACCAATTTGTGCACGTCAGATACACGAGTAGGCTTATGGAAGCGGTTCATCTAAGAAGCATGGTCCAGGAGGCACTCAGGCAGGTGATGGGGGAGAGATCGGCAAACTGGCTAGAGTCTAGACGATGTGGTCATCGGATGGCGATATGACGAAGCCTTAGGTGCCAAAGTCTGCAAGTCGGTGAGGGTGTTCGGGAAATTCAGGATGAATGAGTGGGAGGCAGGGTATGTACCAGAGTTCTGTCAATGCGGCACAGGGAGGCATGCCGAGTTCCTCAACACTGCCACCATCAAGATGCTCCCGGAGGAAGGTACCTTGCACGTCATCACTAATGACACCGACGTAACGAACAATGGCCAGTTGCAGCTCATGCTCAATGCGGTTCTGAATCACATCCCACTCAGAGCACTCGATGAGGAGTTTACATTGGACGAGGTTGAGGTAGCGCTTGACAAGATACTTACCACGCGGAGATGCGACGAGGAGCTGTCCCTGGGGGAAGAAAGGCAAGTGAAGGCGATTGTGCGAGAGAACGCTAAGAAATACATCAGGAGCTTTCGAACGAAACATATGCATATCACAGGTGAACCTATTAACAACGTGGCAGTAAGGAGCGAGATCGAATGGCTGACCAGTCGGTATCTGGTCTGTCCAACGGACAAGGCACCACACACCCCCGCTTTCGTCTGCATCAACTTCATCAGAAGGTTGGCATTGCAGAGGCTCTCGGGGCCGAACTTCACACCGCTTCCAGATTCACCAGAGCAGGAGGCGGCAAGGCTGGTGCGGGAGGCTGCTACCTTCACTCATATTGGGCACGAGGCACTGCCGTTCCCGGACCTCATGACAGTGTATAAGGCACACAATCAATCCTTCAGGTGGATCACGAACTCTGCAGGTTCGGTGCTCTCCCCGGTGGCGAACGTCTGCGAAAGATTACCGAAGCTACTAGCTGAGGATGTTCAGGCCCTCTGCACGAGCAGGAGCGAAGAGATTCTTGCCGATCATTGGGTCAGACCCAACTTCTGGTGGCCGATCTCCTCGATCGGGGAATTCGTTGCCAACATCCCGCAGCGTATTTACTCCGTCTTCATGGTGGATATCACTAGGTGTTTCGAGACGATACCCACGGACGGCCTGCTGGAGACGATCAGATTCTTCGTTCGCTGCGTCATGGAATGGAGGAGGGCAAGGACAACCAGGGACGTGGTCGCGATCAGAATCGCAACCAACGACACACTGCACCCCTAATGGTTGAATGGGGATCAAGATAGGGGTTTTTGATGTGTGACAAAAAAAATATAAATAAAAAATAAGTAAATAAATATCGATTGATTGATTGTTTTTTATTGACTGATTGATTGATTGATTGTTTGATTGATTGTTTGTTTGATTGATTGATTGGTTGATTGATTAATTGATTGATTGATTGATTGGTGGCCTCCCCCCGACACACACACACACACACACACACACACACACACATAACAGGGGGATGAGGAGCGAGGATGGTCGGAAGAAGGGAGGAATCACCAAGCACAGGTAGCAACTGGTAAAAGCATAAAAAGGTCGGACGGAGCGATTAAATAAATAAATAAATAATAAATAATAAAAGATAAACCCTGATGAAAGACTGTGCGGAATAACGACGACCGAGAAACCCAAACGAGTACGATAGGGCGATACACCCCAGTTGTCGTACAAACTCGTTCAGAGCGTATTATGCCACAAAAGATGCGCGCAGGGCAGCAGTTATATGCCAGGGGAATGCTCACAGCCTGCAATAAACATCAGTCCGATTATGCGGATAACCCGTGCAAGCATTGAGACGAATAGCAAGGCATGCGCATTCTCCAAGTACTGACGTTTCGCTCAATTGATAGGACAATCAGAAGGCGTGTGATATGGATCGTATCCTCACAATCAGGGGGCGTTGTTTCAAAATTTTCTGCTATTGTTGTTTTTGTTTTTGTTTTTTGTTTTTGTCTTCTTTTGTCTTTTTTAACATTTGTTCTATTTTCCGCTTAAGTTCCCCCGCCTAACGTCACCAATGACGCTTGTATTGCCCACGGGCAATATCCCTCAGAGAGTGACGGTGACGGAGCACTTTTTTAGCATACCGGGTCGGTCGGACTAATCTGCCCCGTTGCCCCAATGGTGGTGCCGACAAAGCCCGTCTTACTCGGATCATGTAGATGGCGTCATATGTAGTGTAGTTTTTTCAAAGCGCTGGAACGTAATTGCGCTACGTGCCTATCCACGTGGCATTTTCGCCATGGACAGAGCAACGAAGCGTGTGCACCCTTGCATATGGATATAAAATCAGAAGTAGTAATGAGTGATAAAAACGACGATTGTAGGATGTTTCTCTAAGCATAGATAGCTCGATTAAGCCATGCGCCCTTACACGAGTATCGATTATCATACTTTGTACATATGCCTGCTTTAAGGACGTATGCTCTCCTTCTTTTTAGTTCCACTCGCTTTCCGAAGAAGACATCTCTCCGGGCCATCAGATTGTGCATACGTGGGGATGAGTCCTAGTAATGGTTTTATACGCAGGAATCCCATGGGATGGGTTATGTGGCCGGAAAAGTTCTGTGCTCGCCTGATAAGGATAGTAGGGGTGTGCTGATAAATTGCTTCGGAGCTTGATTGCAATACGGTTTCCGTATCTTGCATTGACATGCTTGTCATGGAGTACTCTAACACACACACACACACACACACACCCACACCCACACCCACACCCACACCCACACACACCCGCGCACGCACACATAGACACACACACATACACACACACACCCTCGCGCGCGCGTACACTCACACACACACCCGCGTGCACACACATACTTACACATACTCTCTCTCTCTTACACACACACATATACACACACACGCACACAATCAATCAATCAATCAATCAATCAATCAATCAATCAATCAATCAATCAATCAATCAATCAAATCAATCAATCAATCAATCAATCAATCAATCAATCAACCAAACCAATCAAGATCCTATCGAATTGATTGATTGATTGATTGATTTGATTGATTGATTGATTGATTGATTGATTGATTGATTGATTGATTAATTGATTGATTGATTGATTGATTGATTGATTGATTGATTGATTGATTCTCTCTCTCTCTTTCTCTCTCTCTCACACACACACACAGACACACACATACACAAGAGGACACATACACATACACCAACCCCAGCCTGGGCCGTTTTTTTTTTGTTGATTTGTTTTAAATTTTTGCATCTTCATTTTTTTTAAACACCTAATTTCCAAAAAAAAAAAAAATCAAAAATCATTTTTTAAAAAAGTACAGCACAACTTAGGGATCATATCCCTCATGATTAAAAATGCCCAAAAAAAATGCCTGCTCTTTTTTTTTTTTTTTTTTTTTTTAAATCGAATTTCGTTTAAAAAATCTTAAACGAAGTCGGATTCCGAAATGAAAAACGTAGGACTGTAGGGTTTTCCAAGCCCTACACCCTTATATTTTGTGTTTTGATTTTTACATATTTTTAGTGGTAAAAACAAATTTTAAAAATCAGGTCACGGAATGGGCCTCATCGGCCGCGACCGCGAGTGACTTTTTCGGCCGCAGCGACTGAAATGCCCCCAGCCTAGGCCGCGGGTGTCACATAGGCCTGCATGGTTACAGACCGAGGTACATGAAGTACTCTTGGATGTGGGAATGTGAGGATGAGAGGGGTGCATCGGTTGAGACCATCTTGTCCTACGGTAAGCCCACGTGAGAGGTGAGGTTGAAAATTAACGTGTGCGGTCATCGGGAGCAGAAGATGAGGAGAGATGAGGGACTACAGGCATCTATTACCGAGGTGCGCAGCAGGGCAGAGCGGAGGTGTAGGTGAGATGGAGTGAATGCGGGCATGCGGGTGACAGTCACTTACCACGAGGATGATTCGTCTACTGGGACCACTACCAAAGAGGTGCAGTGCGTCGATCGGGACTCCGAAGGGAAATCTGAGATGAGCGACGCAGAGGCGACTCAATCCTGGTACGGGCGGGATCGATGGCAAAGGGACCACCGTCCCGCCGAGCCTGTGGAAAAGGGCCCTGAAGGCAACTCGTGAGAACGACAAGGCTAAGGCCAAGGAGGTGGTGACACACACACACACACACACACACACACACACACACACACACACACACACACACAGAGAGAGAGAGAGAGAGAGAGAGAGAGAGAGAGAGAGAGAGACATACATAGAGGTCAATGGAGGTATGTGTGGTTCACGGGGGATCAGGCGGACAATGCCCTACCAACGGAGAGAGCGTGATAACGCGTGTCGGCGTATGGAGTAGTTATGGTTGACGCCACTCACTTATGCAAGAACTTGGTCACGCGCGATAGTGGTCACGATTCTGCGACTTGTGCGGGGTATTAAAAGGGGTGGTTTTGAGTCTTCATCAGGGGACGCTATGCCCTGTCTTCTGGGAGAAAAACCCCGCACGCGCGCCCAGGCTAACCAGTAAGTGATCAAGAAAAAACCATCGCGTGTCGACAATGATCTTGGGCCCATCTTGGTCACAGCCAGAGTGGGTGTGAAAGGTACTATAAGGAGGCGAAGGCGGTTTACAAGAAGACAGGGGCCAAGAACATTCAAAGAGAGGGAAGGCGATGACTTGCAAGTGAGACTGTGCGTGAGGGGTAGGGACAAAAGAAATAACAGTGACTATAGCAGGCTGCTCGAAGAGATGATGTGCGAAGATTGATTCGCCCTCCGTTCATTGATGTCAACTGGTCACATTCGAGCATCCTTTGTCAGTTGTGGAAGGGGAGGGAGGATGAAACCCTTCGTTGTCGTTTACGCTCCAATATTCTAGGCTTGAGTCTGCAGGAAATAACTCGTCGCCATCCTACTGAGATTAGCGGGGGCGAAGAACTGACAGAGATCCGACCCCGCACCTGGTTTGTTCAAGACAAGAGTATATGGGTGAAGATGTGTACAGAGCCGACTACACAAAATGACCCATTGACGTCATCTGTGATCTTTTGTTGAAGTCAATTGAATGAAGGGTTTCCTGACGTCGAAATGTAAAGTCACGGGCTGTCCCAATCAGAAAAAAGGGGAGTGAGAGTAGCCGCTTATGTCGCGAGTGACTAAGTGAGAGCAGTTGTGTTGACGGGACTGAGAGTGGACTTGCATGAAAGTCTCTCATGGGTAGTGTTTTCTTTTGATGGTTGATTATCAAATGAGTCTAATGCCGCGAGCATTCGCTTCGTCTCCATTAACTATCCCGCATGAGGCTCCCAGGGTTAGCGTTGCTCGAAACCATGTAGCACCCTGCTGAGTTTATGGTTTGTTGGTTTGTTTTGGTAACATCGTTTTCCGTTTGGATCATGTCATCTACCGGGGGAATTACCTTGTTTCTTTCACTGTCGTTGATGTGTCTCTTTCCCTACTGTTAGGAGAGCTTAAGGTCAGCATGATTGTCTGCGTGTCTTATGGCTGAGTTGACTGCAGTCAGAAAGTGAGCGTGGGTAATTCTGAGCGAGTAATCTCACTGATGACACAGGTGGAAATGGTTTGGAGCACGAGGAGGAGTTCTTGCTAGTCTACGACTTTGTCCCATGAGCACAGCTCCTTGGAATCCTCTCAGAAAGAGACTTGGTTACCCCATGCGAAGGTCACTGCAAGTACAAGTAGTCACACTAGTAATTCGTTGCGAAAGTGTATGCTTCCCGCTTCATTACAGGGGTTGTGATAGTTGCACTCAAATGATCACTGTAGACTCCAAGAGAAACTTGGGTTTTCAATAAGATAAGGTCTCGATCGATCCCCATCTAAAGAAGCCTCATTCCTTTCCTTTTTCCCTTCTGCAAGTTAGGGCCATGCTATGTATGTTGTCATGTAATGATTCTGTATGTGATCAAGGTTGAAGAGCGAACCTTGGACCATGGTGGCCGACCCGTAAAACAGACGGATGAGCCAACGTGCTATGAGACGTTGATGTACCTCACGTAGACCCAGTCTAGTGAATGACTGAGTGACATGCTCCCCTGAGTATGAGAAAACGAACTCAATGTAGATTTTGAGATCTTGTGTTCCATTGGGGTAAAGGCTAATCGCTAACTGAGGTGGTAGTAATAGTAATCTGGATTGGTGCTGACCAGATTTTGAAAATAACACCCGGTCCACCATATTGTCTGATGATAACAGAGTGATGAGCGGTGAGGGAGGAAGAGACAACTAAGAAAGGTTGCTTACTTGATCATAAAGTTCCTGCTTGATGGGATTAGTTGAACTCTAATGGGTAGACGACCCGAGTGCTGAGGTTGCCAAAGGT